TTTACCAGAATTATTTCTGGCTTAGAGAGGTAAAGGTGTGCGTCGGCCGGGGGTCAAACCCCGGACCATGTGCATGGTCGGCGAGCGTCCTAACCGCTATACCACCGACGCATGGTAATATATTTAAAATTCCAAAGGTTTTAAGGAGTCATTACATTTATGATACTTTTAAGAGGTTTGATCAAAGAGTTTCCAGCAGTTAATTGTCAACGGAAAAAAATTTAAAAAAGGTCACATTTTCTTTACTTATCTGATCAGGGACCATCGTTTCAACTACAGGCACGCCACACCAATGAAGACATCAAAACGGGAATCGGACCTTGATCACTTCTAAAATCTGTGTGGAAACCTTCTGCACTCCACAGTATAGACAGCATAAATCGGATTTTCAACACAAATGTTGTCAGTCAGTCAGTCAGTTCTTCTATATGGATTAGAAACTTGGAATTAGTATGCGTTACGAAAAACATTCCCAACAGACGACTGCAGTCTCTTATCAATACCTGCCTCAACAACATAGTGAAGTTCAGAGGACCAGAAAGGACTGATGGCAAAGAACTCTAGAAATGAATCAACCAAGAAGTTATTATTCATCAAATATCCTGAAAAAAATGTAGAAGGATCAGACACACGCTGAGGAGACCATCGTATGACATTGCTCGCCAAACCATCACTTGAGTGAGACTCGAATGGGAGGAGATCGTGTGGTGAGGGGGAGATGAGAGACTATGGGCAATTGTGAGGCCAGCTAAAGACAAAGTGGAGAGGTGCTTTTGAAGCCACAGGTTCCACTCAGAACCCAAGAGAACAATAAAAATGCATAATAATGATTCTAAACATCCCTAAGATTTGAGTTAGACAACTTCTCCACCACAGTTCATATCTGCAGTTAACATTTTTATAAATTGGCCCCATGTTCTAGTCTAATCACTATTAATTTTTGAAGTATTGGTTTTGTAGGGATTTTTTTTGATTGGCTGAAGGATTTCATCATGAGCTGGCAGTATGCAGCCTTCAGGGTTCGAATCCAGGCGAACCCCGGAGGGTGCATATCGATGAAGAGTCCCAAACTAGGACGAAACAGCAGACCAGTACTCCCAGATGGTTTTCCAAATGGTCCTCTAACTGATTTCAGCTCATGATGAAATCCTCCAACTCAGCACTAATAACTTTTCTCTAACCTGAATGTTCTTCAGCCGATACTGCTCCCCAAGAAAGGTAGACATTGTAAAATAATAATGAGAAAACCACCTGCAAATCTAGCTAGATGTGTGATGTCTAGTAACATAAAAGTCTAGTACAATTTACAAAGAACATCCTGACTGCTGATAAATGTAATTATTATGCTTGTGTGAAAATTCCATTTGATTCGGCATATGGGGGTAATCGTAAGACTATAAGAAGTAAATTCTGCTCACAATGGCATCAGTAAGGCATACTATATTACTCTGTATTTATTATTATATTATTATTGTATCCTTTAGTTCCTAGAGGAACATAGGGCTTCAGCCGCGCACCTCCATTGCCTTCTGTTTTCTGACAACTTTTTCACCCCGCTCCAGGTCTGTCCACATGCTTTCATCTCCTCCTCGCATGACCTCCTCCAAGTCACCCCTGCACTGACGACCAACTCGCCGCCTCCCTTTCGGGTTCCACTCGAGGGCTTGTCTAGTGATGTCACTTGATGGTTTCCTCAGAGTATGGCCAATCCATCTGCATTTCTTCCTGCCTATTTGTTTCACAATCGGTTCCTGATTGGTTCGCTTACTGCCAGAGATCCCTGTTGCTGATCTTTTCTGGCCGGCCATCTGATCTTGAGTAGCATTGAGCGAAGACAGCTGTTAATGAAGGTCTGAAGTTTGTTTGAGATGCTCTTTATGACTCGCCAAGTCTCTGATCCGTATAGTAGCACTGACTTTACATTGGAGTTGAAAATCCGGATCTTATTTTTGATGCTGAGTGCTGTTGACCTCCACACAGATTTGAGAGTAATGAAAGCTTGTCTTGCTTTTCCGATTCTGGCTTTGATATCCTCGTCAGTTCCGTCGGCGTGTAGTTTGAAACGATGCTCCCCAGGTCGGTAGGTAAAGGAGTTTTTTCTTTCAGGTTCCTCCCATTTATGCTGGCTGATCGTTGTCTGTTGTTGTTGTTGATGTTGGCTAGGAATCTTCATCACCTCTGTTTTATCTATGTTCACTTGAAGTCCTATCTTCTGGATGCTTCTTCTGCCAACTTGTTGCTTTTCACTTGCATATCTTCCAGTTTGTGGGAAATCAGGCATATATCATTGGCGAAGTCCAACATTACTCTGTAATGTATATTAAATAATCTATTCTTTAACGGAACTAGACTCTCCTATAGTGGCTAAGTTATACTCTTAAACCGTTAAGTTTTCTCCCGGTGTTTTGACACAATGTACCGTTTCCACAACCATGCATTCTGGATTTATTCTTATTTTACTCCTTCGAGTTCCGAATGGAACACAGGGCTTCAGACTTGTCTTTTTGGAGTTTCTGTATTAATGATGCTTTTTTACGAGGTGGGGCTGCTAGTCTCACGGCCAACCTTCCTTCTTTACCAGAACTACTATCAGGTAAACGAGATCTAGAAGTGCATCCACCAGGAATTAAATCCTCGATCCTTGCGTGTGGTTGATGAGAATTCTACAAGTGATGCACAAACTTACCTCTATCTGTATTTAATTACCTTTTATTCAGACAACTGAATAGAGATGCATTCATTGGCAAATTAGATAGTGTGGTAGCCATGTTAGCAAACTGACTGATAGAAGAATTTAGTATGCAACAACACCATGGAATAAACGTATGACATGAGTATCTAACCAAAGTATTCAATCAATTACGAACCTGAATAGCTCAATGGTAATGTGTCTGACTGTAGCACTGGCTGACCTGGGTTCGAATCCCCTTAGAAGGGATATGAGTTCCTACAAGATTACATATACATCTTGCTGACTGATGAGTGTTGAAAAGCACGAAACCAAGGTCCAAATATTCTTGCCTATTACCTTTAACCATTGGACAACAACTCAGAAGAGGAAATATTTCAGTAATTCATTTCAAAAAAAAGTATAAATCCTTATAGCTGACATTTTGAATATTTTGTAACTTTCTCAGTTACTGGATTGATAATTCGAATAAAATCTCATTGAAAACTATTCAGTTTCATTTCGAGGTAATTTGAATACATATATATATATATATATATATATATATATATATATATATATATATATATATATATATATATATATATGGATGTTTCAATCAAATTCAATAAGTAGATAATCTCTCGTTATCATGAATGTAAATATGTTGTAGAGTACTTAACCAGTTGTATAATGCAGCTCCATTCATGCGAATCTTCGAAACGTTCTCTTCAAGGCAAAATTGGCAAGCCTTGATCTGAAGTTCAACAGTTAGTTCGAAGTAAATATAGGAGTGAGACAAGGCTGGCTGGCTGGCTGGCTGCCTATTATCACCGATGATATTTTTTTTATTTTGGTGGACTGCATAATGTGTCAGATTGTTTGTTAGGAGCGAGGAGACAGGAATACGCTGCCTCACCGACAAGAAGACTCCATCTCGAAGATCTGCATACCGCAGTTCACATTTGACTGATGTCACACAAACTCGAAGACTTGCAGGCGAAAACCAACTAACTGGCTAAAGAAGCATCGAAGACGGGACTTCAGGTGAACATAGAGAAGGTGAAGACGGAGGTGGTGAAGATAACCAACCAACAGAAACAAAGACCACTATCAATCACCATCAACGGGAGAGATTTGACAGAGGTTACTTTCTTCACTTATCTAGGAAGTATCGTTCAACCACAGGCAGCCAGAATGGATGAAGATGTTAAAACGAGCCAGTCAGCCAGTCAGGAACGGGGAGGCAAGATACGCCTTCACCAACCTGAAACCTATTTGGTAATCTTCTACACTAAGCATAAAGAACAAGATTTGGATATTCAACTCCAATGTCAAGTCGGTCACTTCTTCTATACGGATCAGAAACTTGGACGGCATCTCACGGAAAGCATTTCCAACAGGTTACTTCAGACTTTCATCATCAGCTGCCACTTTCACTGCCTGACTCCACACTGAAGATCAAATTACCGGTCGGCCATAAAGAGTTAGCAACAAGAAACTGGCTGACTGGCGACAAACCGAGTGAGCAAAAGCCGATCGCTCAACAAATAGGCAGGAGGAGGAGACCGTCGAATGATATCATGCACCAGACCAACGCTCGAGTGGAGTTTGAGTGCGAAGTGACGAGTGGGTTTGTGATGCGAGGCTGACATGGAGGAGATCGTGTTCTCAGGAGGAAATGAGAGATTGTGGGCAATATTTAACCGATATGCCGAGGATGGAAGAAGATAGGACGAAGTGGAAGTGTGCTGTCGAATCCCCATATTCGTCGGTAGCACAGTGGTTAGGACTCTCGCCGATCATGTACATTGTCTGGAGTTAGATCTCCTGCCAAAGCACACCTGATATCTATGGTCGGCCTGAGAAATTTGGGCTACCGATATCATATGCTGAAAATTCCATACTTGCAGCAAAAATACGGTGTGAAATCAAGCTGTAATCAAAAAAGAAAAGTATATTCCACTAGGAATCCAAGGGAATAATTATAAAATGTACTGTTTGCGTTCGTTTGTGTGTGTGTGTGTGTGTGTATTAAACTAGTGCCTAACATAGTGTAAGATGTTTAGACACCATTTTCACTATTCATTTCTTCAAAAGAAATGAGTAATTTCAATAATTTACCAGTAACCACGTAACCTTACTAGAACAAAAATTAAGTGTCCTAGCCTGGAATTGTTTCAAATCACTGTGTTAACTGCTGAAACGATTAAAAATTTAGTAGACCATTAAGTGTATTCAACTGAAACAAAGTAGTTAAACAAATCAACTTTCCTTCAGTACATTTAGCTAATATTATTATTATTTTTACTATTATTATTATTATTTATAGTCATATCTTCCATTTAGCTTTTTCACCTTTCTCTTGATCAATTAAATACAAAAAGTAACTGGCTGTACTTCTACGTCTCAAATGTAGTAGAATCCTATCAATAAATCTTCGATTATTAATCTTCTCAACATATTCAACTAAACGTAACATAATTTTACGCATTTTTAGCGTATTACTGCGTAAAAATTTGTTTACTCCTTCATAGTCAACAGATTTTTCATTTCTGCTCTGTGAATCAATCAATTTTTGAGTTAATACTTTAAGATTTTCCAAGAGTATTTGTAAAGTGTAGATTTCTTGACAAACTGAATTAATTCCATATCTTATATTATGAGGTGTCATAGAAACTTGTAGTGTTTGATTCGCATTGTAAATCAATTGTTCAACAGCGGATAATTTAGCTCTACCGCATAATTTTCTCCACTTTGGTGTATCACCTGTTTGTACTGTACATGTACTATATACCGTAGGAGTATGTTTAATTTCTCCCGAGTGGAATGTATCTGAGACAGAATCTTGTTCTACGGACAAACAGTTATAATCTTCAAGTTTAAAATGAGCTGACATTCGATCTGTTCGACTATTGGTTCCAGATGTTGTATTATGAAGTGATGATTCATTAGTTTGACATAAATTTACCAGTAATTTAATATTACGTTTTAATCCACCAATATTTATAAATCTGTAAAATGATGGTAATTGAGATTTTAATTCATGAAGATCTTCTGTTATCTTTGCTAACTGATCATTAATTTTTTGATAATCAAGCTGTACTGAACTCTCTTTTGAAGGAACATTCATGCATTTGTGAGTGTATACATATAAAGAATATATATCAATAGAATTTTAACAGCTTTATTGGATGACTTATCGATTTTTTTTTAACCAATAGGAAGAGTGTATAACTGCGTGATAATGAACAATACTACGTTTAATGTAAGCTATAAACTTTATTACATGTTAGGTGATCTTAAGAACCCAAGGAGATTTAGAAAATATTTTTTTAAATAGTATAAAGAATGAAGCTTATATAAGTGCTATATCAATTACCACACAGGTGGAATCCCATAGAATAAATTTACTGTTCAAGTCTAAAATCTAACCTGAAGAGCAACCAGTCAACTTGAGTGGCTTTACTGCATATCTTCGCTAACTGTAGCGTCGTTGTGCGTTGCAATGGTGATTTAATGACGAGTCATACATTTGATATGCCTTCTTAATGGAATTTTGCAGTAAAAATATAGTTTTTTTCTGACGTTAACATAATCTGTGGAATTCTATTCTTGAACTGCGTTACATTTGATCCACTTGATAAAGATATCTCAGGAATGTAATGAATTAAACGATGCAGAAAGTCCGTAAGTTTGACGTATGTGATCAAATTTGCTTGAAATTAAATAGGTTTATTTTCACGCATTTGTTATAACACATTGATACCCAGCGAAAAAAGCAGGTGGCGCCATTTCCAAAAAAAGGAATGCAAAATAATTGCCCAGTTAACTGTAGTGTTACTCAAATATTTGTTCCAGTTGTTATTCAGGTATTTTAGATATGCTTTTGCAAATGAAGTTGAAGATTGAACGATCTATTCATGGTTGTTTGCTCAAACCCAACTTCCCTATATTTTGGCGGGAGTCATCGTTTCATCGTTCGCTGTTCGTGGAAGACAGAAAAAAACTATCAAAGTATTATTGTGATGTATTGTTATGACATTTATTCTTAGACCTTGTGTACAATAACATAATGGTTGGCTCTGTATTAGTGCAAGAATAAACGGTTCTTGAGTCACCAATTTGTGTTCTGGCTTTTCGTGTTGGTTATTACGCGTAGTTCCTGAAAGTGTTTCAAGGACAGTGTGAAGTCCAGTGTAGTTAGACCTGGACATTGACTCCTGGAATTATTCGTCATACTTCTTGTCAATTTGTCTTTCCTCGCGTCTGCCCGTCTTTTTGGACAAGTGTTATTGGGGACTTTTCTAGATTGTTTGGTCAAGTTCAATAATGCCTGGGTCAAAGAAAGGACAAAGTGTTTTGGAAGCAGACAGGAAAGTAAGTAATGATGAGTTGCCTGTTTTATGTAATAGGCAACTCTAAAGAATAGCAGCCCCGAACCGAAACGACCTTCGAACGCAAAAATGACCTTGACAAGGACAACCTCGACCAATCAGAAGGCTCAAAATACGGCGCATAATTGTCAAAAATCGTTTATGTATAAGTAATGCAATCATAATAAACAGTTACAATGGAAAGCGTTCCCGTGTATGTTGCGAAAAAACCTCCCAATTTCTCGTAGGAGTCTCCATACTGATGTTAAACCAGTTTCTGTACATAAATCCATCCAGATAACTGTAAATCATTGGATTTCTTGATCCATTAACCGATCTAATCCGTCTTTTTAGACGACCCCAAAAGCTTTCGATGAAATTAGTGTGGGTTCCATCCAAAGGACTGCAAAATCCGTCCGTGTGATTCACTACATGATGAATGTACCCAAGATTCGATAAGTGACCATAGCTGCTCCATTCATCTGTGTGAATAGATCATTAAAATTTTCGTTAAAGGTAGTTTAGACCTTGAGAAAAAAGTTCATAAGGGATCCGTAAACTAAAAAAGAACGACAAACCTTCTCGAACCGATTTCCTGCTTCGGCACTCAATAAATCTGTATGCCAAGCCATCAATGCAATCTGTGTATTTTTGTATGTACATAAATCCTCCGCATTGGCAAATTTTCGACCTAGCAATCAGTCCGTTATCCAAACAGTAATCGAAAACATGATCCGGAGTGAATTTGCAACGAAAAAGGTGTAAAGCATCTGTGATTACCTCTGGAAAGGATACCGTCAGCTGATTCCTTGCTCAAGGTCAATTTTGCGTTCGAAGGTCATTTCGGTTTGGGCTGCTATTCTTTAGAGTTGCCATTTAATGATGTGTGTGATGCTATGCATGATAAGACTGGTGTCCATGTTTCGCCGTCCAGGGATAAAAGAAATTTCAAAATTCCTAAATTTGAGCCTCGGCATTGAATGGAGTGACACAGACGACACCGCATTTTGTACAGGAGAAGAGAGTTACAGTTTCAGAGTCCAGTTCTGACTCCACAAGTTTACAAGGTATTACTAGTCAGAGTAAAGGTATAAAACCTTTAAGGATTTGTGAGGAAGAACCCAAATTGTCTACTCCTGTTATTAAAGAGTTTGAAAATGATGAAGTCGATCATACAAAGGCCGGTTAAGTGAATATTTGTGACAATGGCCATGATAGTGCACGTTTGTCTTTGGCCAGTCATGATGAAACGAGCGGAATGCCTACTAATACTGAGTTGAACAAAGGTTCTGCAAAACTTAAACGTGAAGTAGAAATAAAGGCAGATGCGGTTGCAGAGTGTGTGGATACTCGTGAGACCGTCAGTGTAATTGATCAGCGTTTAGCACACCCATCGACAGTGGTTAATGCTAAACTGGAGCTGATAGTAAAAGACAGCAGTGGTGGTGGTCTTGCAGGTAGACAAACTTCTAAAAGCCGATAAACATTAGCTTTTGATGCACCGCTGAGTTCATCAACTGGTATCAATCAGTCGTCGTTGGTGTTGTCATCCACAATGAAACAGACGCCCATCAACTCAAGTATCTTGTGCAATGACTATGCTAGTATCAGTTCGTTTGAAAGAACGAATATCAATGGTCAGTTTAGAGAGGATAAGCCAAGTGCAAACGAGAGAGTAATTGTTAAATTGACTTGCACGAATAAAGGCATTTCTAGTTTCAAGTTACTAAGTGAATGCAATTATCTTTGGTGTAAATTACTCTGTGCCTACGCTTGGTTGGTCAGATACGTTGTGTGTTTGTTAGATATTTTCATTCCACGATACAATGTCATGGGCGTGTCAACTTTCAGAGTTAAAAATATAGATGACAGAAGGAGGTCAGCAAATAAACTCTCAGACGATTTTCCAACTTAAGGGCGTCAACCTCAGAAGGGTTGCAGGCATACTGCTGTAAGTCCTACAATTCTTCAAGGGTAGTACGTCGAAGCGCAGTCCATCGTACTTGGTGTGCTATTTTGTACATATGCTCATATTGTGTATGCTGAATTGATATCATCGCTCATCAATCTGTTGATAATTTTGTTTGTTTCCGAAGGTCGGTGACACAGTGGTTAGTACTCTCGCCGACCATGCACATGGTCCGAGGTTCAATCCCCTCCCGGCACACACCTGATATCTATGGTCGGCCTGCAAAATTTGGGCTACCGATATCCGTGCTGAAAATTCCATACTTGTACCGAAAACACAGTGTGGAATCAAGCTGTTATCAAAAATAAAAAAACGTTTTCGAATTTTATCATCAACCTGAGAAGGAACGTAGGCGTACTGCTGTAAGTCTTACAGTTCTTCGAAGGTAGTTCGTCAAGCCAGAATTCAAAACATTTGATGTATTGATTGTACATGTTTGTGTTATGTAATTGGGTGGGTTCCAATTTATGTAATTCTCGGTTAATCTTGTTTGTGTTCGGACATTCTTCAAACTACAATCGTCAACCTGAGAAGGATTGCAGGCGTACTGGTGTGAGTCCTGTGATTCTCCAGAGGAATTCCATCAAGACATGATCTGCGATGTTATGTGTACTGTTCGTATTTATGTGTGGTGTGTCATATCAATTGGTCTTTTTAGATTCACTGTGTTTACTTGTTGTTTTCGTACATTGTTGTTTTGCATAATCTTGTTAAAATTTTCGTCGTGATTACTTCTGAAATTGTTTCGAGCCTTCTACATCCGTGAATGAATTGATCGGTGTTAAAGACAGCAGATGGGTCGTGTACGCCGTGGAGGCTAGTGCTGAGAATGCCATGCACACGGAGATGACTGTTAGCTGCGGTCCTACACGCTGAGGAGCGAGAGTGTAGACGACTGAGGCTTGCATACATCACCGTTAATAGAACTGAGGCAGAATGAGTGACAAGCGATCGCAGTGGTAATTGGTGGTGAATAGATAAGAGGATGTGAGAAGACTATCATGAGGTGGTCACGTTGCATTTTGAAAGAGTCATTCTAGCAAGTGGCAATTGTGTTACAAGATGTCAAGAGGATGCCTTTAATTGGAAAGCTTAGGTCGTCGTCGATGGGTGAGATTGTGCTGTGGGTATGCCTGTTGTCAGCCACGTCTCGTAAACCGTTAATGCCCAGCTCTTGCTACGCTCGGGCTCACGCTGTTCCTTGAAGTTTTTCAGAAACGCTTAGTAATAACGGACGCAAAAACCAAAACACCGATTGGCCGCTTGAGAATTCTTTATTGGAACACCAACATATAAAAAATATTTCTACTAAGGTCTGTGAACAAATATTACAATAATAAATTACAATATTACTTCTGACGGTTTATTGCTGACTTCTTTCTGAACAGCGACCGATGAGACGATGACTGTCGTATTGATGCCTCCGCGAAAATTGGGGAAGTTGGTTTTCAGCAAACAACAATGAATTGATCGTTCAATCTTCAATACATTGACACCTGTGGTGTGTTGGCTTTGCTGCTTGTTTTCCATTTCAGCTTTTTCCGTGTAACCCGGTTTCACACACTGGCGTCCACGTCAACTTGGTTTGGTCGTGATGGAAGAAAGGGATGGATCCCTTTTTTCCCATGGATTGTCAATGTAGTCGAAGATTGAACGGTCTATTCATGGTTGTTTGCTCAAACCCAACTTCCCTATATTTTGGCGGGAGTCATCGTTTCATCGTTCGCTGTTCGTGGAAGACAGAAAAAAACTATCAAAAGTATTATTGTGATGTATTGTTATGACATT